TTCTATGATTCTATGATGTACAGTGTGCATCAGCGCACAACTGGGTGCAAGGAGCGTGTGTATTCACAATGCACACATATGCACAAAAGCACTGCATGTGCAACTCTGCTTCTACAAACATGAACTGAATGCAGATGTCTTGCTTCTCACAAGTTGCTTCTCTCCGGGAAGTTGCACACGAATAAGTCACAACAGGGCTTTGGCCAGTATTGCAGGTTTTCCTTTTAGGCAATGTGTGTATTTCGTTTTAGGCAATGTGTGAGAATGTGTGTGACACCAGTGGGTGTGACAGTTGCAATGACTATGCTGGAAAATATACAATGTTATGTAAGTATAAGCATGCCTCTGGAAGGCAGATCCTGTCTGTGACCTGGCTGGCTCTCGGTCCCACACCTTGGTCCAGCCATTGTCAGCGACAAGGAGATGGAGGGGTTTGCTCTATGCATCTCGGAGCATATCCACACTGAGCAATTAAAGCAGTTTGACCCCACTTCAGTTGCCATGGCTCCATCTTGTGGAATCCTGGGATTTGTAGTCTATTTATTTATTGCACTTGCAGTGGGTCCTTAATATCTGGCAGGGTTTGGGTCCCAGACCCTCTTCCCATGGATATCAAAATCAGTGGATGGATGCTCAGTTCCCATTAAATATAAGGGCATTGCGAAATACAATGGCATAATGAAATGGATGCATCCCTTTTATCACATGGCAAAATCAAGGCTTGCTTTTTGGAATGTATATATATTTAAAATATTTGCAAGCCATGGATGCTTGAATCCGTGGATAAAAAAAAAAAAATCAGTGGATATGGAGGGCTGTCTGTATATTCCCCTTTCTCCCAAAATGGGATCCATAGTTTGGGGAGAGATTTAGAATTTTCTAGCCTACTTCCCTGAATTGCAATATTTGAACTTTCTGGGAGGGAATTTCAAGTACCGTATCTCAAGGAATGACAAGTTCCAAGATACCGTACGATGGGACCATGGCAGTGAAAGTGGTATCAAAGTGCTATAAGAGCGTAGTGTGGGTTACACAGACTTTGGGATGGAAAATGGAGGGTGGTAGTAGTGGAAGAAAATCCAGAGAGAGAGAGAGAAAGGTGGCTGGTTCAACGCTCCTCCTGGGAGATATCAGTGGGTTGCCCCATAGGTTCCTCTCCCATCCTTAATTCCAATATCTGGACCCACAAATTGGGAAATGACCCAGTTTGAGACATCAACCAGACATCTGGAGGACTTGAAAGCATTGAGCCTGTGGCTTTGGTGAAGAAGAGTTTTCCTCCCCTCTGCAGGGCCCTGCAAGCTTCCCTGAAGGACAGGCTTTCTGTATCTTTAGTAGCCAAAAATAGGGAGAGTTTATCAGGTCTCATACCTCCCAAAATGATGCTGTGTTGATGGAAGGAGCAAGCCCAGCATGCGGAAATCACCCTTTCCTCTCCCATGGGCCAGAAAGCAAGCATGGAAAGCATCAGGCTGCTTCACAGAATGAGCCTCTGTAACTCAGGAAAGGATAGAATCATAGAATCGTAGAGTTGGAAAAGACCTCAAAGGCCATCCAGTCCAACCCCATTCTTCCATGCAGGAACTCACAATCAAAGCATCCCTGCGACAGATGGCCATCCAGTTTCTGTTTAAAGACCTCCAAAGAAGGAGACTCCACCAAAATCTCCATTGAGGGAGTGTGTTCCACTGTCGAAGAGCTCTAATGGTCAGGAAGTTCTTCCTAATGTTCAGGTGGAATCCCTTTTCCTATAGTTTGAATCCATCACTCTGGATCCTATTCTCTGGAGCAGCAGAAAACAAGCTTGTTCCCTCCTCAATATGGCATCCCTTCAAATATTTAAAGAGGGCGATCATATCCCCTCTTAACTGTCTCTGCTCCAGGCTAAACAGACCCAGTCCTTTCATATAGGGCTTCATGGTTTCCAGACCCTTCACCATTTTGTTCGCCCTCCTCTGGACA